AAAAAAAAGAATTGCAATGCTGAAAAAGCATTTTCAGTGACAATGTTTGGATTTGAAATCAAAATAATGGATAAATGTTGTGTTTGTGGTAAACAGCCACGGATCAGTAGCGGACTCCTGTGTGAAAGCACAGTCCATGCTGCTTACCCTCTCACAAGAGTCACCTAAGAGGGGAATTCACCCCATTTTCAAAAATGAAATTCAGGCCCTGAATAAATGTATAAAAATCCTGATTGGAGTATCACTATAAATAGTTATAAATGATAAAAAGAAGGCTTTAAAAAGATCGGTATCGGCAGATACTGCTTTCTATGATCGGTGATCGGCCTCAAAAATCCTGATCGGAGCACCCCTACTGTTAACGGCTGTTTACATACTTCGTAGTATTTCCACACAAATTACATTTTGGAAAATAATTACAGTGCCGTTTGTGTGCAAGCCCAGAATAGAAATCGGTTGAAATAAAGCAAAAAAATGGCCAGTCAACCGGTGCATGAGTACTCCAGTGCATAAATAAAATCTAGATGAATCATTGTTAAAGCTACAAAGTTACTCGCCAAGACTAGGGGAGGGACAATAAATTGATGTGCCGATTTATCGCGATATTTCTGGCCGCGAGACGTTATCGATACTCTGGCACCAAGTATCGATATTTTTTTTAAACATACAAAAGGTCTAAATTCATACCTACACTGTGGCTGTTTACCACTTTGACTTACCGGAGCGGCAGTACCTCCAGACTTCTTGTGGTGGCGCTTCCCAGATTGCGGATGGTCAGATGAATGGAAATTGTAATTCACAGAAGAAATACGAGCGTAATGATAGACCAACAACAAATCAGAGATGCACTGCCGTCTTATGTTTATGGAGATGAGAACTAAAAAACTGCCCCGGAGTATCGTTATAGGATTGTCTAGCAATATATCAATTATCGCAGAATCGCTGTATTCGTGATATTATCGTATCGTGAGCCATGTATCGGGATTCGTATCATATCGTCAGGTACCCTGCAATTCCCACCCCTAGCCAAGAGGGGTATTTTGAGATACTTTTGTATGTATTTGTCCGTCCAAGCGCAAGAAGATGCTGAAATCTCAATTCGGGGCTCGGGCGTTGTCACACAGCACACAGTGCTTGAGTACTGCATGTAGTTGTCTTTCGCGTCTTGCTTGAATGCTTTAAAATCGCTTGTATTTTTAAATGAGCAAAACTTAAAAACAAATGATAAACTTTCGAGACGACGCAGCAGTGTCCCGATCGTGCCAGTGACAAATTTATCAATTGTCCCAAACGTCTTTCACGCTGGTTGGCCCCTTATTGTCAAGGCCTGGTGATTATCTCAGACCTACACAGTGATAGCCAATGCTGCTACTATCTCACTCTTTCTTATTCTTGGTTCATCCAAACATTGGCAAACTTTGAATAGTCACCATTAACAGCCAGAATGGGATCTACAACCAGTTCTTTTTATTTAAGATATTCACCATTCCCTAGCAAACATTTTTTGGTGGTAGATTATTAATACTGACCTTAATGAATTTGTGTCACTGAAAGTTAAAAGGATGATGTTGGCTGGCATCAGACATTGTTTATATGTTACTATTCTTATGATTTATCTAGTTTTGTCTTAAATTTTTGCTGTCCTGTTGGACTTGTAAGCTATAGGGTAGAGTATGTCTTTGCCAATTTCACTGTCACCTCATTCAAAAATACAATATATGCTTTTTTTAGTATTGCTGTCAGGAACATAATTTGTCTTCACATGGTTTAGCATTTATTTCCCCTCTTTTTTTTTTAAACTTATTCGCGTATTGTGTGGCATCAAAGCCACATGAAAAAAGACAAAGAAGCCTAGGGTGATGCAAACATAATTTGTTTTTGAATGGACGAAGAATTGCCAAGCCATTAAAGTGCATTATTGGATATTATGTGGCTGATTCTTTGTTGTTGAAAGAAAAGTGTTGTGTGGAAATGTAGAATTGTCCCTTATATATTAGATACAGGCCTGTTACAGGTCTCCATCTCCGCTTTTCATAAAATTAGGCTAGTAGTAATTGAATGGGGGCAGTTTATGTCCAGGATAGTTAGAGAAGAACTTGTTCTTTTCAAGAGATGCCTTCTGAACACAGACCTTTTAACTCAGTTTGTTTGTCAACAACAGAATTTTCCTCCCTGGAAAACAATGTTAGCCGGTCTTTCTGGGGAAGCAGGTGGAAAAAGAAGCATTTGATCTTATTGCTTTAAAGTCCTGCTTTTTTTTTTTCTTCCGTTCTAATCAGTTTTGATGCTGAGGCTTGTCTGTTAAGACCTTGCCATCTCTTAATGCATTCTTCTGCTTTCGGTCGTTTCGATGTGAAACTTCACCATTCCCTTGATTGTTTGTAGTGTCGATGCCCAGAAGGCAGCAGCGGCGGCGGGTTTATTGGCGCCGTAAAAGCAGCGTCCATAAAGAACAATTCGGTGGAATTTTTGGAAGGCACGAACCTGAGATGGTCCTATTAGGAAGTTTGGTTTGTGCCATTCGCCATTTGCCTGCTGTCCCATCCGTCACTTTTAGCTGCACTTCAAGCGGCGGCCTGATCACGCCGGGGCCCTTTGGGAACATGGGCAGCTCAGGATGAGATGACAGCATCTGACATCTTAGACTCAACAAGATTAAAGCAACAATCTAGAAAAATAAGGCGGAAAGGCAGAAGTGTGTGGATGTGTGCTTTATGTGCTGTGATTCCTTCAGCTGTCCGCAAAGAGCTGTATTTCATTGTTTGGTTGAGAGGATTGTGAAAAGAGAACATCTTTATTGGAGGGCGGATTTTATTTTTCTCTTTGTGTGTCTCCGTAGAGAGGATCAGAGGAGCTGCTGTCCGGCAGCATGTATAACAGCCCCAGTTCTGGGCTGAGCAGTATAAGCGGTAAGTGTTCCTGACTTCCCCCCTTTCCAAAACATGCAGTTTTCTTGACCATGAACAGCATTAAAATAATGAAATTATAACAGATGTTTCAGTGTGATATCTGATCTGAGAAGATCCTATCTGGGAATAACCTTACGCTTTCCTGTAGGTGGGCACCCACTCTTATAAGCATGTGACCGGAATTGCGATTATATGCACACTGCATCTTATTACAGCTTCTCCAACAATAGATTTCAATATCCCATTCAGTAGAGGAATGACTTTACCCGATTAAAGGAAGCTTTGTTTCTTGAGTTCTTTCTATTATGGATATCAATTGGAAATGTAGTGTGAAATGTAGGGCTGGGCAAAAAAATCGATTTTTCGATATATCGTTTTTTAAAATGTGGTCGATTCAATATCGATTCTCAAAGGCCACGAATCGATTTTTTTCAATATTTATTTCTGCAAACATTGAACATAAGATTTACGTTAATCTTATTACTAGTCTAATCCACTAGATGTCACCCCCTTATTTGCCTTGCGCGATGTTACAACAAAGAGTCCGTCATTCATTCATTGCTTAAAATGGCAGATCCAGGGCTCTACAGTGCGACCATTTCAGTCGCATTTGCGACTGAAAACTACTGCGTGCGACTATGACATTTAGTGTTAAGTAGCCCAATTTTGGGTCAAAACTTGGCAACACTGCTTATGAACCGACCGCAATATAGCGTTTCCTTGGTTACCGCTGTAAACAAAGCAGAGCTGCGCTTTTATACAGAGGAGAAAATGCCATTGCCATCCAAACTTTTCTCAAGACAGTACCCTTCAGTGATACATTAATATCACCCCAGAAATGTAATGCATTTTTGTACTTATTTTACTGTTATTTTCGGGATCTACTGGGACAGTGATAAAGATCTACCAGTCGATCGCGATCGATGGGTTGGCGACCGCTGGTTTAAAACAAAGACACAGCGGAGCCGCTGCGCATCTCCATTCAAACACAGCGGTGTTTCGTTTATGAATGAACGGGCGTTTTTAAACGAATCTAGTGAGTCAGTGATTCATGATTACCCATTCATAAAGACAGTCACTTGATTCATTCCTGAATGAATCAGCCGTTCGAATGAATCAATTGAATGAATGATTCAGTGATAAAAATCAGTGACTTACCGCCACCTGCTGGCAGTTTGTTTCATTTTAAAAGTATCTTTTCAGTTATTTAAATAATTTAATATTTCTATATTCAAAATTTTATATTTAAAACATTAATATCATCATGAATTTATGGATTTAATTGCACTCATGCTACCTCTGAGCCTCATTAAATGTCTGAAAGTACACCAAGCCACTTTTGTGTTCTTCTGTGCCACCTCTACAAATTAATTTTGTTAATACTGATTGGTTTGTGGCTCTTAATTTCCTATTAATTAACCATTTGTAATCTTATGTTCACTGTTCATTTTTTATAAATATAGGATTTGTATTAAATCTATATTCATTCATATAGTCAAATCAAATCGAGAATTGAAATCAAAAATCGAATCGAAAATCGAAATCGAATAGAAAATCGAAATCGAATCGAATTGAGAGCTTGAAAATCGAAATCGAATCGAATTGGAACATCTGAATCGATACCCAGCCCTAGTGAAATGTAATAGAAGAGAAACTTAAATACAGTTTAGACACGCTTTCAGACCTGGCTGAGTATTTAAATCTGCATCTTTTATCCTGATGTTGGCATTATGGTTTAAGATTTTTCCTTTAGAAATGTATTCTCTTTATCGCCAGTATAATGTCCTCTTTCTGTCCACTTTTGGCAGATACGACATCCAACGGCAGTGACAGCAAAAAACTTAGAGTTGAAGACAGAGTCGGCGATGCCCCACCATCCCGCGTTCTTCACATTAGAAAGTTACCCAACGATGTCTCGGAAACGGAGATCATTGCCCTGGGGCTTCCGTTCGGAAAGGTCACCAATATCCTCACACTGAAAGGCAAAAACCAGGTGCGTGGGCAAGCTGAAATGTTTACAATTTCACTTTTGTCGGAGTCAGTGAGTCTTGAAAGAGATTTGCTATTTCTGGTCCGACTAACAGTTTTGAGTTCACTGAGTTCATCTTACCTCGTCACTGAAATCGTCTTTGTCTTAGGCGTTTCTGGAGCTCAGCACAGAGGAAGCTGCCATGACAATGGTCAATTATTACTCAGCTGTGACGCCTCACATCCGTAGCATGCCAGTCTACATACAGTACTCAAATCACAAAGAACTGAAGACCGACAATTCAAACCAGGTAACAAATTACGTAACTTTTCTCGAAAATTTAAGTATTTCAAGGGACAGCCAATCAGAACGTATGTGATCTTTAAAATCCAACTATGCTGACCAGCCATTTTGAATAAGTGAGATTTTGTTTTGGGCAGAAGAGTCAATATACATTTTCTGCTATTTATAGTGTGCATGGAAACTGTTGCCCGGTCTTTTAAATTTACACTACTGTTCAAAGGTTTAGGGTCTGTAAGATTTTTAAAATGTTTTTTTAAAGAATATGTTATGCTCACCAAGACTGCATTTATTTGATAAGAAATACAGTAACAACAGTAATTATGTGAAATATTATTACAAATTTCCTATTTTAATATATTTTAAAATGCACTTTATTCCTGTGATTACAAAGCTGAATTTTCAGCAGCCATTTCTCCATTCTTCAGTAATGATCCTTCAGAAATCATTCTAATATGCTGATTTGGTGCTCAAGAAACATTTCTTATTATTTTCAATTTTGAAAACTGATGTGCTGCTTAATATTTTTGTGGAAAAATTCTTAAAGGGGTCATCGGATGCAAAATTTACTTTTGTTGTTGTTTGAACATAAATGTGTGTTGGAAGTGTGTGTACACATCCACCCTGTAATGATAAAAATCCACCCAGTGTTTTTTTTTTTAAATCCCTATTTTAAAATCCCCTTTCTCAAATCAGGCTGTTCTGAGATTGACGTAGATCTGCACAGGCCGCTCCCACGATAGTTGATTGACAAGGCCGTCTTACCTTAGACCCGCCCTGAGTGAGTTGTTATCAGTCCGCCATTGTGTCGACTCCGGTGCAGGGGAAGACAAGAATGTCTCTGATTAAGCGATTGAGATGTTTTGTTGCTGGATGTAATAATGAACATAGCAGTCGTCATTTACTCCCGACATCTGAGCCGCTGAAGACGCAGAGGATTTACGTTACTTTCGTTTTTGAAGGGAATGCGCAGATCCCGATCGACCTAAATGCGTCTATGTTCGTGCGAATCATTCATGATCCAGCTTCATCGACAGAGTGAGTATAAGGGTTTTTTAATGAATCTTTGCAAATCGCCTTTCCTAATAAGTGCTAGTTAGCCAGTTTCGCGGCTGAAGTTTACAGTCTGCTCGTCATCCCATGGAAGAAAGGGGTGGGGTCAGCAGAGCTCATTAGCATTTAAACAACATGGACTAGAACGGCGTGCTGAAAACAGAGCTGATTTTGACAGGGTAAAAAGGGTGTTTTTTACACTACCATTGAGAAATTTTAACCAAAGTATGTTATATACTTTTCATTAAGACCCTAAAGGATCATATCAACTTGTGGAAAATGGGCATCCGATGAACCCTTTAATACATTTTTAAGGATTCTTTGAATTGGTGGAAAAGTAAAAATAATATATAAATTTATTGTCACTTTTGATAAATTTAATGCATCCTTGCTCAAAAAAAGTATGAATAAAAATACAAAATTTGAACCCACCCGAAACTCCGCAATGGTTTTGTATTTTTTGACATTGGTCTGTTGTTGTAATCAACCAATCCGCAATGGTTTTGTATTTTTTGACATTGGTCTATTGTTGTAATCAACCAAAATGTTGTTGGTTACTTAACATGTAATTCAGACAGGTTCTTTCTGTCTAAATGGCTGATTCTTGGCCAGAATGAGCTGCTATGAGAACCAGACTTTTCCCATTATGTATGTTTAAATAGTACTTGTATCTGATTTCCAGTCAGGTGGGACTCTCGCATCAGGGTCCAACTCTAGTGATGGTAGTGGTACGCCCTCCAGTCCAGTGCTGAGGATAATCATTGATAACATGTTTTACCCCGTCACCCTGGATGTGCTGCAGCAGGTAGGGGACGCCACAGTTAGGATCAGCCTCTTATTGAGAGTTTACATTGGTGACAAATTGATGTCCTGTCGATGCTGTGTGTGTTAATTATGTTTTTTTTGTAATGTCTTTTCCCCTCTGTTGATAGCTCCCCTCAATGCTCTGCTTTCTCTGTCAATAGATCTTCTCAAAGTTTGGCACCGTCATGAAAATCATCACATTCACCAAGAACAATCAGTTTCAGGCCCTGTTGCAGTACAGCGATCCAACCAGTGCGCAGCAAGCTAAAGTGGTGGGTTTGCTCTCAGCGGAAGTTCACGTTTTTAGTGCCCTACGAAGACGACACATTCTTTCTATCTGTCTCTCTCTCTCTCCTTGTTCTTTTTTCTGTCTTTTTCTCTTTTGTTCTAGGCTCTAGATGGTCAGAACATATACAACGCCTGCTGTACCCTTCGCATAGACTACTCCAAACTTGTCAACCTGAATGTAAAATACAATAATGATAAGAGCAGGGACTACACAAGGCCGGAGCTTCCTGCTGGAGATGGGCAGCCCGCTCTTAATCCCACTGTGGCTGCTGCCCTGGGTAAAGATTCCACTTCCCTGCTCGGTAAGATCCCAGGTACTTGCCTCTTTTTTTTACTATCTATTTTGGTGTGTCATTCAGTGTTTGTTGTCTTCATTCACATGCCCTCATGCACCCTAGTTGCAAATCTGTATGACTTGTGGAACACCAGACTTATGAAAGGAAACACTGTTTTTACACATTTTGTCAGAAATATAGACAACTGTTAATACTGACAGTATAAATAATATTTGCATGAATACTCTTAGCAATGACTTTCAGTCCAGATCCATACTATATACAAGATGTTGTATTTTAGAGGACCTCTTTAGCTTCACACATTGTCTTAAAGGGGTCATATGATGCTGCTAAAAAGAACATTATTTTGTGTATTTGGTGTGCTTGTGGTGTGAGATGCTTAAAAAAATAGCAAGATGTGATGCAGAAACCCAAAACATTTGTCTGTTGAGTACTCAAGGAGACAAAATGGCCATTGGTTGTCAGTTCGTTTGTCAGCCAAAACCATAATTTCTTCATAACGTGATTGATCCTGAGCGCCACTGAATGGGGACAGTATTTTAATCGGCGTCATTGATTTAACTCAGTCTGTCAAAGCTGTGTTTATGAAAGACTGAAAATAATTAGAATGTGCTCTTAAGTACTGTAAAATGTCACGTAGGCCGGTGTCTCTGAGTGCCTTGACTGACCTTTTCTCAGATATCTACTCATAAGGCCTCTTAATTTAAAATGCAATTTGACATTTCCCCTGCCACGCAATCAAGCAGGTATTTTATTGATATTAGGCTTAAAATTATTAGGTTTTAAAACCCCACATGGTCTTAACCTGGTCCCTCTCACATCAGAATGAAGAACTAATATGTGTTACCTATGTGTAATTCAGGTTTTATTGGCTGGCACAGCTAAAATAGACATGTGATGATGACTAGGCCACTTTCTTAAACTTTTCTCTACAGTTAAAGTTGGCTGATTGATTACCTATTAAATACAAATTTTGCAGTTTCTTTATGCATGTTCATGCATGTAATATAATTTTTAATGTAACATTTGGACTAGAATGCCCATTTATACCTTCCTGTGTGATTCCAGGTGCTCTGAGCCCGTTGAGCGCGGCTGCTGCTGCTGCTGCTGCAGCTGGAAGAGTCGCTCTGTCTGGGCACTCAGGGGCCAGCGGAGTGCTGCTCGTTAGCAATCTAAACGAAGAGGTCAGTATACTATTACACTGTACAGTGTATCTCAACCTCTGCTTCACATTTACATATTTCTGTTGGTCATGTCATGCCATGTTACATGTTAAGACTCATAGAAAATGCCACTTCCTCTGTACGATTTAGTCCTATTCGTATTTGCAGAGTGCTGTAGTCTCATTTTGCCTTGTCACTCATTCTTTACTTAATACACTTGTGAAGCACACAGAAACTATAAATACCCTGGTCATATCTCAACCTCAAAATATAAAGACTTATGTTTTTAATTAAATAATGAAATTTTAAATTAATTTTTGTTAAATGAATTTAAGGCTTTATTTTTAATTTTCAAAAAGCCTGTTACATAATAAATATATTATTTTTTTGTTTTTAATATAATTAGTAATTTTTTATATTTATTCATTTTTACTCATGTATTTTGTTGCTTGTAATTTAAATATAATGTAATTTTCCATTATGGTATTTGATGGAATGAATATATTTCATGCAAATAATAAAAAATATTAATAATATTGTTGGGTCAAAGTATTAGAGATCCTTATTATATGCTTAATTTAAAAAAAAAATGTAAATCTAATTTCACATTTTGATTTTGGGGTGAAATATGGTTTAGTGTCTTATGTCTTTCCTAAGCCCACTTGCTTATTTTAATAACAACAATCTCTCATTAATTGTATTATCTGAATCTGTTAGTTCTTGTCTCTGTCTGGTTTAACAGCTTTCTGGTCGTACACCTTATAACTTTCACAGAGTGAATCATTCTCTCTCTTTTGTATAAACTGTCTTACTCTCACTCTTTGAAAGCTAATGAACCATGGACATGGCACTACCCCTTTGCTCATCTGATAAAATGTGTTATTTAAACGTCAGTCCTCACGTATTGATGTGGGGCCAATTGTGATTTTGTCTGTCCACACCATAACTTTAAAAGGTGGTTTTCATGTCTACACAAGCATGGCAATCACAAAGATCCGGGTAAAACTCTGTGAGTCAAATGCTTGAAGCTGTGATGCTTTCAGCTTTTCCTGGTCTTCAATCTCCTGCATGCCTCTTAAAAACTTCATAACTCTGCCGTTGTTCAGATAATTTTTATCATTATCCGATGCTCCTTTTTATTTTTTTTTGTATGAATGTATCCTTACCCTAGTACTGGGTAACTACATTTGGCACAATTATTTGCTTGTACAATGTAGAAATGCATAAAGCAGCCATTCTCTGACCAAACTCCTGCATTTCCTGTGTACTGACCTGTATTATATTTTTTGTCCCCCCCCCCTTCATTTATATTCTGCATTCGCTTCCCCCTTTTTTCCCCATTTTGATTTTGTCCTTCTCTTCCATCCTGTCTTTCTCTGTCTGTCTTTCTTTCTTCCCTCATTTCTGTTTTTTTTTGTCCCTTCTTCTTACCACGCCTTGACCATACCTCGTTGTTCATGTTTTTTTTTTTTTTTTTTGCTTGAACAAAACTTCGGACCCCCAATTAACCGCCCTGAACCATGATCCATGACCACTTCACCATTCTGCGGGAAACCACCCTCCGTTATGGATGATCTGTTCATCTCCGCTCTTCCTCGACTCTTCTCTCTGTCCGCTTGCTCCTCTCTCCTTCTAAAGATGGTTACGCCCCACAGTCTGTTTACCCTCTTCGGTATGTTCTTGTTAGCTCTACTTTTTTTCTTTTTTTTTCTGTTATTCTTATTATTATTCATGTGCTTTATTTTTATTTTTTTATTTAAAGTCAACATGAAATGAAAATTTACCTAAATTACTTCATTATTACATGTTCCTGTAGATATTGACCAATAGATTTCTTTTATGCCCAAAGCCAAGTATTGATGGATTTTACATGTCTGATAGCCCATAAAAAAAACCCCGAATAAATTACATTTTAGCTTTTAGACTTTATTTTGCAGTCAACAAAGAATTGAACTGGTATTATCGGCAATAAACATTTTTTCAGTTAATCCAACTTAAATTTTTACCTTTTTTTAAATCAGTTTTTACGGCTTCCACTATGTTTGTTTATCTGTATTTTGACCTGTAATTCGATATTAAAGTTATATATAAAAAAAATTAAATTAATTAAGTGGAAAAAAGGTAAGTATTTATTAAAAATATCAGTTAAAACCAATTATTGGTTTGATCTGTTGACTTATTTTTGGTAGTGAACTATTTTCAATAGTGAACTAGTTGTTTAGTAATTATTGAGGCTACTTTTCTAAAATGTTACATAGTTAATGCAGAAATGTAATGCTAGTTAACGTAATGAAGGTTACAATATAATGGCACTTTCATTTCATAATAGCAACACACTTTACATGAATTTTTTGCCTCAAAAGTGGGTGCTGGTTATGGTGTAGTCCTTTAATCAACTGCAAACTCACAATCAGGCTCTGCTGTAGCATAGAACATCCACTTTTTATTAATCAATTCCAAATGGATAAATGTCAAATCCAGCCCTATGTATTTTTTTCCTGTTGAATGTTCTTGGAAGTACATAACATTATGGAAATAAAATGGATTTCATGTTGACTTTAAACCATTACCATTAATTGGCTTTTAGAGTAAAAGTCTTTTGCCTCTTTTTTTTTTTTTACTTTCAGCCTGTTGAAGTATTTAATTTATTTCAGTGCATGTGATCTTTGGTTCAGTTTGCACAGTATTTATGTTCCTTCTTAGTTCTTAATTCATTTTGAATTTGAGGGTGTATATATCCGAGTCTTCTGTCAGGTTGTGATTAGTTTTCTCCATTTCGATGAACGTTCTGTGAGTCTTATCGGTCTATCTTTCCACTCTCTGAGTCTCACTTCTTACTTTTTCCTCCCTCTCTCGTTTCCTCTCCGGCTGCTGGCTGCTCTGTTCGCAGGGGTTTATGGGGACGTGCAGCGTGTGAAGATTCTTTTTAATAAGAAAGACAGTGCACTGATACAGATGGCCGATATGAACCAGGCTCAGCTTGGTAAGACTGCATACTGAAACATCCCTAACAGCACAACCGTTATTGTCATGGCTAAGTTTACACGCCAGTCAGATTCAATTGAGTTGCAAAATAGACTTTGTTTTAATTCTGAATAAATGTATTTTTTCTTTAATTCAGCAAGAATGCATGAAATAGTTAAAAAATGACAGTAAAGACATTTATAATGTTACAAAAGATTTCTATTTCAAATAAATGCTAGTCTTTTGCATTTTCTTTTCATCAAAGTATCAAAAATGATCATGATCTCAGAAATAAACTGTTTTCAACATTAATAAGAAATCTTTCTTGTGCGCCACATCAGCGTATTAGAATGATTTCTGAATGAGTAATGGCTGCTGAAAATTCAGCTTTGCCATCACAAGAATAAATTACATTTTCAAATAGAAAAGTAGAAATATATTCAAATAGAAAAGTTATTTTATATAGTAGTAATATTTCACAATATTACTGTTTTTACTGTATTTTTGATCAAAAACTGCAGCCATCATAAGCATAAGAGACCTCTCATTTCTCACCACCTCATTTCTCTTTGTTTGTTTGGATGTGCCTCAGCGATGAGCCATCTAAATGGTCAGAAGATGTATTCAAAGATCATTCGCGTTACGATGTCGAAGCACCAAACTGTTCAGTTACCGAGGGACGGTTTAGACGACCAGGGTCTCACGAAAGACTTTACAAACTCACCACTGCATCGTTTCAAAAAGCCCGGCTCCAAGAACTTCCAGAACATTTTCCCTCCTTCTGCCACGCTGCATCTGTCAAACATCCCGTGAGTAAAAAGCTCTATTGGACACTTGTCAATCTTTGTGTCAGTCGTCGGGGAGCTAAGCCATTTTTCTGTCATGTTTTGAAGGCAAGACATAACTGAGGAAGACCTCAGAGTCCTGTTCTCCAACTCCGGTGGCACTGTGAAAGCTTTCAAGTTTTTCCAGTAAGTCTGTCCCCGTTCAGATCCTCATCAAATGATGCTTTTGCCTTTTCTTTCATTCGTGTGACCGTTTTTGTTGGCCTTTTTCTCTGCAGAGATCATAAAATGGCTCTAATTCAGATGACAACCATCGAGGAAGCTATTCAATGCCTGATCGACCTCCATAATTACAACATGGGTAATAACCACCACCTGAAGGTCTCCTTCTCCAAATCAACCATCTAAAGCAACCTGAGAGGTCTTGCTCCCAACTGCTTTTCTAGCGTTATCTAACTGAAGAAGACCTCAGAGTCCTGTTCTCCAACTCCGGTGGCACTGTGAAAGCTTTCAAGTTTTTCCAGTAAGTCTGTCCCCGTTCAGCTCCTCCTCAAAAGATGCTTTTGCCTTTTCTTTCATTCGTGTGACCGTTTTTGTTGGCCTTTTTCTCTGCAGAGATCATAAAATGGCTCTAATTCAGATGACAACCATCGAGGAAGCTATTCAATGCCTGATCGACCTCCATAATTACAACATGGGTAATAACCACCACCTGAAGGTCTCCTTCTCCAAATCAACCATCTAAAGCAACCCGAGAGGTCTTGCTCCCAACTGCTTTTCTAGCGTTATCTGTTGACTGTTTAAATACACTGGGGACCACAATTTTGAGAGTTTCTTTTCCCAAGTTTCATTCCACAAGAAGTTGTTGAAAGAAGGAAATATTGTGACTCTTTTCAAGGACATTTTTTACCCCGTTTCCCTCTTGCCAGCGCTCTGACACATAACCTCTTCAGTGGCGGAAAGGTGTTGTGGTGTAAGTCTGAACCTCTTATAATAAACAGAAAAGAACGTGCCTTACAAAACTTGCATAAATCTTTTCATACTTCATATTCTCAAACCCAAGCAGTCCTCTGAGTGTGATATTAATACGTTTGGTTAAGACAAAAATATATATTTTTTCCTTTTGTGTCTGATCTGTATAATGTGTGAAAGCCTCTCGGATGTTTTTTTTTGCAGTTTGTTCAGTTCCTAATGTCTGTGACATTTTGATTTATGAATTGTAAATAAACCTGTGATTCTAGTGATCGTCATTATGAGATGTTAGGCCAATTCTCAGCCCATCAATCCAGCAAAATGTTATTTGAAGGGAAATGAGAATGAAACCGTTTTATTTGACATTTTCTCAATTTACACCATTTTTTCCTAGCTTTTCTTTCATCTATATGCGTTGTCTTTATCCTAAGTGGAAGGTTATGATGACATACTTTTTTTCTGCATGTACCAACTGGTGCATCTTTATTCCTAGTGTTGCATGGATAGGAAATCACTTCTTTGTGTGATTTGGAAAGACAACTACAGTAGAAGGGACCAAAGTTTATTTGCCTATAGTCTTAATTTACTCCAAGATTGAGCATTTTAGTTCACTTTTCAGAAGAGAGAAGACTCATAGACAGTCTTATGAGAAGAGTTGAGAAAATAAATAACATCGATTGGCAATCCACACTATGATTTATTAGAGGGACAAAAGGATCTTGTATATTTTGTTTTATTTTTATTTGATTTTTTTAAGCCTCTGTAGGAATGTATGATTCGGCATAGTTTTGGATGTGGCACAATTAAAATACTTTTTCTAACAAAAGCGGGAAGATTTGACTTGGTTGTGTGTGTTGATTTCTCTTTCCTGTTTTCTGCTTTTATCTGTAGCATGCTCAATAAACACTTATGTAGTTCTGTATTCGCTTTGTCTCTCTGCCGCCCTCCACTCCTTTTAATGGTTCTGAAGTTTTGTTAATTTCCAGGGTGGGAAAAAGCTTCAGGAAGTTTGAAGTGTCAATAATTTTGGCAGAACGGATTTGGACAAAAATAATTTGGATTTGTTTGGCAAGCAAAGTGTTAAAAACACAATTTCCCACCCTGTAAATCCTTTCGCTTGTGACCCATCCATCTTTCCTGGATATGAAATTGCTTTGCCTTTTAGTTGATCCTTTTAGTTAACACTTAATTCTGTATCACATGCCCTTCCACTCCTAAAAACATTGATCAGCATTGGTCTTTTTTCTTTTAAATTAGCCTGAATTTGCTATCTTTTTTTAACGTAATTTTGCATGCACTTAAAAACAGTACATGACCTTCATTTATTTCTGAATGTTCACTGATCTGTTTGTTTTCTAATAGTTTTTATTAGGGGTGACCCCGAATAGTCGAAGATTCGATGCTTCTACCAATCTCACAGTCGAATATTCGCGGGGTGTTATATGATCATGCCATTTTTGGCTATATGGGGGTGCTCAAATGTCTGATTTCACATAGAACTACTGGTTTTCTCCCAAGCGATTTAAAACTTTAACAAGACTCAAACTGACACAGGCAGAGTGAAAGACTGGATTTTTTCGATCAGGTGGGGTACAAGTGATTTCAAAACATTTCAGCCGGTTTATATATATCGTGTACATTATTTATCTCGTATAAGATGCATTTGGTTGAGTTGCGCTGCAGTAAAGCGTTTCATTGTAATACTACGGTGATTATCTCTGCAGCGCGAGCAGGACAAACAGCAATGCAGAATATTAATAACTATGACTGGGACTGTCATATACATAACAATTATAATGAGACCACTATTATAATATGACGCTGTGAATTTTTAGAGTTTAGTTGCGTTTCTGCACGTTGTTGCGTGAAGAACGTGTCCACAAAAGGAGTTCATTCAGAGCCGCGCAGACACGTTCACTTCTGTATTCGGGGCATTTTGTGCATATAGCCTATAAGTCGTAATATTAAGGTTATGTTGTATAAATAACGAAGCGTATTCTATATGAGATAAATGATGAGTTAAATCCCATTGTTTAAAAACCTGCTGCCTCATTCTACAGGTCATCTGCAGCGCGCGCAGCTCAAAACAAATGCAGAACATTAATAACTACTGTCATATACATAACATTATAATGAGAACACTATTGTAAAAAAATTTGTGAATTCTTAGGGTTTCGCTGACGTTTAATGTTAACTATCTTTTAATCAAATCTGCGAGGCGTCCGTTACACATTTTCCCTGTGTTAACGTAAATTATGACTGTCGAATGTCTGATTTGACTCTTGGTAATGTATTTTGCCCCGCCCCCAAAACATATGATTCGACTATCAGTCGAATATCGGCGAGATTAGAAAATTCCGATTCTACTATGAAAATCCTTAGTCGGGGACACCCCTAGTTTTTATGCTCTATGCCATTGTTTTTATAATTAAGTACTTCTATTGCTTGTTATTGTGTTTGACCAAGCATTGACAAGATCTTTGTCTTCAAAAGAAGATATTTTTCTTTTGTTGTCTGAAACATTAAAACGTGTATGAAATCCCTGAGCTACATACATATGTGGTTTGAAATTTTGTTGAAGGTGGTATTTCAGAGATTTGTTTCAGATTAGATTTCAAGTTGTTTTTGGTTATTCAGGAAGTGATGTCATATACACTGAACAAAATTATAAACGCAACACTTTTGTTTTTGCCCCCATTTGTCAAGTTGTGTTCAAATTCACACATTTTCACTCATTCTTTCCCCATGTAGAGAACTATGTGGTGTTTGCTATATAGTGAATAGCGAATGAGTGAACAATTGAAAGATTTCAGACACACAGCTTGTACATGTATATAGGAGTAAAAACACAATAACGCTCCATTGCTTATGCTGTATTTTGCATCATCATGAAATCCTTGGGTGAGATGTCATAGTGGACATAAGCAGTGGCAAAATTTTCAGTTTGATTTTTGTCTCTCGTTCCAGAGCAAACGCTTTTCTACATTAACAGTTGTGTAAGACTGTATCTTGGCATCATGCTGATGCAAAAGACTGGATTTGAAAACAAAACTTGCGTGCAATAAAACCTAAATGTGAATGTATATTTTCAATATTTTGTTTCTTTCAAGTCTAGGCTGTGAGGCTTAAACCACTAGTCACATGGGTCCAAAAGTTTATTTTCTTTGCCTAACACAAAGGTTGTCTAACTCCCCCCCTTCAGCATTCCTTCATTTCACCACTTTCTCGCTCTGTGCTGTTATTGAGTCTCTGTGTTGGATGGTCGTACTGTGATGGACGTCCTGTCTTGCCTTGTCTGATGAAGACAATCCTCTAGCCCGTTTCAAAGTTGGGTTCCGGATGCTGCAATTCATCACAGGCCAGACGGCAGCGTTGCTCCACGCTGCTTTTATTTTGCACACTTAAATCGAAACACTCGTGTTCTCGATCTACCTTTATAAACAAAAATGACACAATAAATCAGAGCAGGGACCCAGACCAAATCAATACCTCGTCTGGAGCGTGAATCATGTGCTCCAGACATCTGTATCCACCCGCCATTACGCTGGCACAGGGGGAGGGAGCTGTTCTTCTCCCCTGGCCTTTTGTTTTCCATATAAACCCTTCTTGCTTGGAATAAGACCTTTGGTGAGGAGATTTATACCTGATGTCTTAATGTAGAACAAAGCTATGTGTTAGTTAGCATTTTTGCTCTTGCTTACCAGTGTTCGATCAAGTTTTTTCTAGGTTCTTTTCGGTGCTAAACAGACAGTGGAAAATAATGTTTTTGGCAAACTAATTCAATACTCAACCAAAGTATTTCATAAATAGATAGAGTAATGTATAGAGTAAAATGCATTGAATATACTTGTTAAAAACGGCACACCGAGAGAGATACTATATCCCACAGTTCCGTGCGCTCAACTTGAACTTCCACTTCCTGTAGGAACGAACTGTAGATAAAATCACATGCCATTTTTTGACTCATCATTTGACCAGAATGCCAAAAGCTGAATAAAAAAAAGTTTTTATTTCAGATTAGTGTTGCATATTATGTTCTTAAACAATTAAAAAATTAACAAATCAAACAAAAATTAAACACATTTTTAAAGCTTTTGTTTTGATGAAAATATCTTTTAAATTAAAACCCCCGAGCTCCTGAAATATCATTATAATGAGTACAAGTTGTTACAATGAGTAATGTTGCGAATACAACATTGCAAATCCTTTAATTATTCATTGTTCATGTTTTAGCGTTTTGCTGCAAAAAGTGCGTATTCACAAAACATTCTGTGACTTGACACATTTGGGTGTTAAGTCGCTAGCAAAATGCTTCATTTTATTGTTATGTTCTGCTTCAGCACACAAAGCTAAAGCGGGGCATTATTGACTTATGAATTGATTATTTGAAGTCATATTCTTTGTAGACTTGACTTCTTCGAAAAACATTATTAATGGTGTTCTTTTTTTCTTGTCTTATTTTCATCAGCAATGTTTTTTTTTTTACATTTAATTACAGTAAAGATGCACATTTTTGTTTAGTCTTTGTCAGTGACGGACAAAAAACACTTCATTGACAAATATTTTCCTTTAAAAAGGTTCCTTTGATCTTCCATTTAAAAAGTTACAACCATTCCTACTTATTTTAGCCTTCTCCTCTGATCACTCTTTTGGCTTAACTGATTGACAGTCATTTTTAATGTGGTGTAAATGTATTGCGGTTCTCGTCATTGCTGCAGCAGAAGTCAGTTTGCCTTCTTTTTAATGGGGATACAGTCGAATGCCTGCTGTTGTGATACTGTATTCCATTTACTAAGTTCACTGCTTGATCATCTGTGCGAGTCTAACTGCTAATCTATAATCGCTGCAGTCAGGCAAGTCTGCTCAGTTAAAGGGCCAGACCATCTCAATACATCACCCGCTCTCATAATCTAAGCGTGCGTCAACCCTGTTGCCCCTGGTGGTGTGACATCTAATTCAGCTTGGGTCCTCTGATAATGACAGTATCGATTTAGATTGTATGTCGTTTTTTCTCTCTTCAGCAGACATGCTTGTCTTTGTATGCTATGGTTGCTTCAAGATGAGAGCTCAGTCGGCCCAGTGGGACTGTGAGATTGTCATGTGCTGTCTCCAATCACGTGGGATTGGAAGTTGCTGTCTGTATCTGGAAAATTACATCTGCTTAGCTTCTGTTCTCACATGCAAGAGTTCCTTTCCAGAAGCACTGGATATACTCTATGTTCAGGTACTCAATAATTAGTTTCAGTGGGCCTCTTTCACATGGAGAATGAATTTATGTTTAAATTGTTTGAAACACAATAATGTTCCATTCTAACATAAATCGATGTATTCTGTTCAATTATTCTATTCAATATTGTTTATAAAAACATACATGTAAATTGTCACATTCAGTGAAACAAAAATTAAGTAAACTGTCTTATTCAATTGAAATGTTGCATTCTAAGTAACAAAATATTCTTATGTATATTAGATGTGACAAAAATATTAAGTGCACCAAAAACATTCAATGCACCAACATCCTTATTTAAATTGTCATATTCAATGCAACAAAAAATATTAATATATTAACATTCACATGAATAATATTCAACAGAACAATAATATCCATATATTTGTTGCAATTCAATGCATCAACAAACATTATGTAAATTGATCCATTCAGTTCAACAAAAATTAAATCGGCGTATTCAATGTAACACAACATTAATATATAAATTGTTGCATTTAATGTATTAACAAACATTCTTACATAAATTGCCGAATTCAGTGCAACAAAAATTAAATTGTCATTTTAAACGCAACACAAATTATATAAATTGTTGCATT